TCAGCCTCCTGAGTAGCTGGGATTACAGGCACGCGCCACCATGCCCAGCTAATTTTTTTTTTTGTATTTTTAGTAGAGACGGGGTTTCACCGTGTTGACCAGGTTAGTCTCGATCTCTTGACCTCATGATCCACCCGCCTCGGCCTCCCAAAGTGCTGGGATTACAGGCTTGAGCCACCGTGCCCGGCCTCGATTTTTTTTTCTAATTTGAGACTCTAATGAGATAATACATGTGATTTAGTGAAATTCTTTTTAAAAATCAGCTGTTCTTTAATTAGTGAAACTCTTAATGTTGGCCACTCCTAACTTTGGGTTTTAACTAAAAGACAAGAGAGTAAAATACTTCTTTATTAATATATATATTTGAGTTTCTTATAATGGGTAATTCATATCATTATACCAAATAAACTTATGTTGATGAACAATGAAATAAAACCTCATTCTTTCGAAAGTTAAAATGTATGCACCAACAGCAAACACTAGTGATTTTGTAGATAAGCTTAGAAGTATAATGGAAGTTTTCAGAAGTTTGTGTTTTTTAAATTTTAAAGTCTGAATTTTAAAATACTCTGAAAATTCTGAACATAATGTGTTACCACCAAATTAAAATCTAGTACTGCTGCCAATGTAGATCTTAGAACTAGAAGTAACCACAAGAAATCATCTAGTACAATCCTCTGCCTAGAAAGTTAAAGTACTATTATTCCCATTTTACAGATGAGACTCTTGAAACCTAGAATTGTTCAATGATATACTCAGTCCTATTTTCTGTATTACTCTTAGTCAATAATAGTTTATTCATTCGACAAATTTTTATTGGGTACCCTTCAAAGTGACAGGTACTGTCTTGTGTTTGGAGATTCAGAAGTAAATCAGACACATTTATGTTCTCCAGGAACTTACATTCTAGGCTTGAGGAAGAGGGGGTAGGGGATGGAAGAGGGCACAGGACAGTTAATAAACAAACAAACACAGTGCAGGATGGTTTCAGGAAAGAGTAAATTACGCGATGATAACAAAACGTGTGGATGTGATAGAGAATGACCTGGATGGATGGCTAATTTGAATTGGAAGTTACCAAAGGCCAGTGAGTAGAGGCCATTCGAGCTGAGATTTGACAGGAAGCAATCATCCACTTGAGACCACTGTGCAGAGCATTTCACATAGAAGAGGAAACACTAGTGAAAATGTCGCATTTGGGAAACACGCTTGTTGTGGTAGAGGACCAGAAAACTGGCCAGTGGCTGCCAAGCTGAACCACACAGGAAGAGGTGGAATGCTAAGGTTTGAGGAGGCAGAGACAGGGACCAAATCACATAGAGATGTGGGATTTCTTATTTATTCTCGCTGCAATGGAATCTTTGGAATGGGAATGATATTCTCTGATGGACATTTTGAAGACTACAAAGACTGTCATCTGCATATTGGAGAGTCAGGCTAGGAGCAGAGAACCAGTTCAGGGCACATGCTATGATGTAGAACAAAACAACAGCTTGGTAGCAACCAAGATGAAGAAAAGTAAAGAAATGGGGGATATATTTTGGAGGTGAGCTGCCAAGGCTTGTTGATGGATTAAGTATTGAATGGAAGAGTAGGAGAAAAAGCAGAATTAAGAGTGGTGCAAACATTTTTTGTTGTTTGTTTATTCTTATTGAAACATTCCTTTGGTGAAGGGCAGAAGGGTTGCCTAAGCAAAATTATAAATGGTAATCCATTTATTCAGATGGAAAAATCCTTGGGGAGACCAAGTGTGTTGTGGGAAAGTAATTCCTGTATTGGCAATTTTAAATTTGTGATGACTATTGCTTATTCAACTACAGTATGTAGGCAGTCAATTACTCCATGAGCACCTAGAAAGATAATATGTGAGTATAAGAAGAGAAATGAGATCCATTAATTAAAAGTTAGATATAATCTTGGCAAAGTTTGGTTTGGATCAGCTTCTGTACAAGAACCATGTATCAGTTTTGTGTGTGGATCTGTTATAGATCTGGAGACACATATTTGACAGGTTTAAAATAAAGTCCTAAAACCTACACTTTTTAAAGTGGCAGGGAAGATTTTGTTGTTTAGACAAACAAGATCCAGTGGCCATATCTGGGATAAAGAGGAATCACAGGAGAGGGCTTTCAAGTGTTCATAGATGAATATTTCTACTAAATAAATGCATAAGTACATAAATAAATGCATAAGTACATAAAGGAACAAATTAAGAGTGATTTTCAACAAATTATAAGAACAGTCATAATTTCTTAATTGCTTTATTGTAAGACAAGTTCCTGTTCTGTCACCCAAGCTGGAGTGCTGTGGTGTGATCTCAGCTCGATGCAGCCTCTGCCTCCTGGGCTCAAGTGATCCTCTACCTCAGCCTCCAGAGGAGCTGGGACTACAGGCATATGCCACCACACCCGGCTAAGTTTTGTAATTTTTGTAGAGAGGTTTCAATTTGTTACCCAGGCTGATCTCAAACTCCAAACTCAAGTGATCCACTGGCGTCAGCCTCCCAAAGTGCTGGAATTACAGGTGTGAGCCACCGTGCCGGCCCTAAAATGTTTTCTATCCATCACAGGATTATAGATGAGCTTAGAAAACATAATTTTGTCAATGTCAATCAAACATTAATGTCTTCTTTGCCAATTTCCCTAAATGTTAAGCTACAGTAACACTTTTACTTTATTTACATTCAACCCTAGAAAAAATTCAAATTTTTTATCTATGTTATTTAATCTATGTAAGGTATTAATAAATGCTAAGAGGATATGTTGTCATATACATTTTTAGCAAAGAAGACATGGCACAACTGCTCATATTTTTCTAAATAACCATTTAATTTTTTTTCCTACATAATTACAAATCACCTACAATAGATGATCTTCTATAATGTTAAAAACATGTTGAAGAAAATAAATCCTGGCAATAACTAGGCTTGCTTATGTCATTAATATCTTCCTGATGATAATGCCATCCAGAGAGACAATAAAAGGATTCTTTCTTTCCTAATTTTTGCATCATCAAACATCTTACCACCCATTACCTCAATCATTAGGAAATTTTGTCTGTATCATTGGTGCAAAGGAGGAATGTTATTGTCTCAGTATCCAGAGAGTTAACTTTTTATTATCTGCCTCATATTTTCCCATATTTAGCTCATCTGTGGCAAATCTTAATTTCAGAAATATTAACAGCTAAAATCTACAAAATTCTGCTTAATTACATGCTTCATTAACCTCTTACTCCCCAGAAAATTAAGATTCTTACAATTAATTATTTGCTTCATTGACCCTTCTCCTTTCACACTTTACTGTTTTTTCTGAATCCTGAATACAAGCAAGAAAGGCCTTTGAAACCTAAATGACTACCGTGCTCTTTGAGGGAAAATTCCAATAGGAAAGAGGATTTCCTATCATAATAATATGTTTGATTTATTAGTCTGACAGATGAATTGTGAAATGGATGCAAGG